TATCCATACATACACCATACAAGGAACATTAGAAATAATGGAACAATTTAACAATCATAACCACTGAGCAAGCATCACTTGACTAAATATACATTAAATATTGTCGTGAAGGTGCAGGGTCATTATCAGCACCATCTGATCAGTGGTACAGTACAGTATGTCCTCAGTTATTAAAAGTTATGTGGAAGAACTTATCATGCTGTTTCATTTCCTATCCGATACTACACAATATATTTTACACAGAGGATTTTACCAAAGCTACAATGCTGAAACCACAGTCCAGTCAGGTCAGTTTTGAGCTGAATAAAGAGAGCTGGCCCTGCTCTTGTGTTGCCTGGAGGATATAAGAAAGAGAAGATTTTCTGTCAGTGATTATTCCTAGAATAACAAATCAAAACATAGACAGACTCAACCCTCAGCTATCGAAGAAATATGTTTTCTCTGCGTGATTCAATGCTACCATCTGTTGGTCAAACATGGGGACTACAAGTAAAAATCAGTAAACATTTACAAAATTGATGATGGACAAATTAAAAATGTCACATTAAGTTAAACACACAAGACAGGCTTTTAATTATTTTCAAACAAAACTTGTGAACAGCAAAGATGGGAAAGACTTTAAAATTGCCAATGTACACCAGAAAGAATATTTTACTGTGCAGAAATTTAGGCTATTGAAATGAATTAAATTTGCGACGCATTCAGCATTATTCTATCTTTCTCTGACAGATGTTGAAGTTCATCTTTATATTTTTGACTTGATGTTTTTTCTCCTTATATCTGCAAACTATTGCAACACTAAATGCAAAGGGGCATCTAATTGAGACCTGCCTTTATTTGTCAAAATGTATGGCAACACCATGCCAGTAAAAGGGACTGGGCCTTAAATTTGGGTATGATGCGATTTTAATATGTTCCTTTTATGTCATTATGTAAAGTGGCAATTCGGGTCTATTTGGGTGATAGGCAAAAATTCATTCATTTGCACATTTTAAGGCAATGCTGTGGTTTAAAGTCTGTCGGGCATTGGGGGCTAGGATTAGTATGTCTTGCATATTGACAAGTTGCACCTGTGATTATTTATCTCAAATCAAAACAATGCGTTTTTTTCTGGACATCTATGTTTTTATATTGCAATATTCTTCTGCGGTATTGTTTGTGAGTCCTATAAAAATGCTACTGACCTTATGTGTTTGAACATTCTTGTGTATTTTTGTTTGTACACTCACATAGTCAGAAGTCCTGTTCAAAAGTGAAGTGTAAATGAAGAAAGGGTTTATATATGTGTTTATATATTTTTACATTATAACTTTTTAATTTGAAAATTGAAATACAACACTTTCAGCCAAATGTTGTGCATTTAAAATCCAGTATGCTTTACTATTGCATGATTAAAAGTATACATGAGTGTCATCCACATCTTATCAAATGTTAAGGTGTTATTCTTGAGAAGTTAGCTTCCAACAATCATATTACCAAATGTCATTTATAAACTCTATACTGATGTTGTTATAATACATGTTGTGGAATGTATTTGAATTTCTTTATACACTGAATTTCTTTACACTTTTTTTAAAAACTAGTTTTCTTTTCACTTTCTTTTTCTCATTATATTTGGTAGAACTTCTAACAACATACATCTGAAATCATCCAAATACTGCTTTTGTAACGGGACAAAAAAAAAAGCACACAAAAATAGTGCGAATAACTTTTTTATCTTTAGTAAATCACAATAAAATTATGTTTAATCTTAATCTGGTGTATAAATACAGCGTATGAAGTAAAACCCAATATGCCATGTCTAACTATTACACTACATTGTTATAACAGTGAGGAGGATTAAGCGAAAAAAAAAAAAAAAGGAAAAAAAACAATTTAATACCTTTAACTCTCGCGAGATTACCACGGTAACGGAGGACTGGGGCTTGGTCTTGAAGTTTTCAGATGCATCTGTAGATGAATCATAACAGCATCAAGATGTCGGGACGATCAGGCCGTGCTGAGACCCGAAGTCGTGCTAAAGATGACATCAAAAAGGTCCTGGCTGCCATCGAGAAAGTGCGGAAATGGTATGTAGTCTGTGTGGTGGACAATATCGGGGGAAATGTTTAAGTAGAGACTGTAGCCTTCTATCTGCTGCGTCGCTCAACAAACTTCAGTCGGGAAAGTTGGCTGATTGACGTCGCTTCGGACCAATCAGTGCCCTAGTTTAACTGGCGAGGCGGGGCTAGTTGAGTTTTTTTTTTTTTTTTCCACCGAGAGCTGTCAATATGGCTACAGCCTCACATGCTGTGCGCTGTAATCCACACGACTATCCTGCTGTCACATTACCGTACAATTCATGAACACTGTCTGACTAATGATCATGATTTTTCAACATGCTCTTCAAAGTTAACGATACGAATAAGTGAGCTTTACACGATATTTGATCAGCTGCCATCTATTTAGTAAAGACACGGGAATGTACATTGTATGCAATGTTACAGATTAGTGCTAGTAAGGCAGACTGTGGTGTGTGTCACCTAAAACGATCTCCTCCCGATTTTTTTTCCAAACCTATTTCAACTCCAGGGAGAAGAAATGGGTGACAGTTGGAGACACATCGTTACGCATCTTTAAGTGGGTGCCAATTACAGAAACAAAGCAGGTGGGGGCTCTGTCATGTAAAACTTCACTATTTGCTGTTAAATTGAGCTACATTTTTTCAGAAGCCTAATGCCACTTCCCTCTTTGTTATCAGATATATCGCACCAAATCCACAGGTGGGGATGCAAGAGGACTGAAAGATGTGGTCCTAGAAAACACCAACTCTCTACTGGACTTCACTGGTGAGTTTGTAGCTGGAGCCCTCATGAAAAACATGACAATGTCAGGTCAACTTTATTTACAGTAGGGTATTAAAACAAGCTGAGCGAAGTGCTTTACGGAGTAAAATCTGTGTTATGTCCGAGGGGCCAAAATGGAAATGTGAAATTACTATGTTAAAAAATATTACTAAAGTTGGAGCTGTTACCTGATAGTAATTCCTGTGTGCTCTGCCTCAGATGAAAACAGCAACCAGAGCTTTTTGTCAGACGTTTACCAGCCTAAAATGGATAACAGCAGCAGCACATCGAGCTCACAGCAGGTCAGCCCTCCGCACACCTCCAGCCTCCGGACTGAAGACTCCCAGCCACCGATGCTAGGCCAGGAGAGTGTGGATGGTATGGGGGGGGGGGGGGATCTCTCTCTACAGCATATGTTCACTCTAGTATTTCAGTATATATATTTTTTAATGTACACACAATATATGCTTTGTTCTTGAATAAGATCAATTCTTGATATGAACAAAATGGAAAAGCAGAATGTTTTGTCAATTTTGTCCCACAATAAAAACTTAGACTTTTTAGACAAGACTGTTATGTAAAAGGATAACAAATTATATACAATACAATATAATATACGTGCAACCATTTTAATATCATGAAGTGTCCGTACTTTTTTTTGTATTCCTTTGCTGCAAAGCTTCTTTAATGAGGTTAAACTTTTCCTTGTGAATACAGAACCAGTTCACTCAGGACAGGAGGGAGCTGATGAGCCTCCTACTCTCATCAAGGAAGACCTCCTTTCATCAGGAACTGCCAGGCGAAGAAGCCCAGACACACAGGTTTACTCTCTGATAAAGGCCTAAAACAATTGATTTATTCAGTGTTATTATTTATAATAATGTATTTATAACTGAATTCATATCTCATGGGCTGGTAACATTGTATGAAACGGAGGTTAATTTAAACTGGATTATTCTTTTCGAACAATCTGAGCATTTAAATTACTTACATTTTTGTTGGTTCTTTTTCCTAGCAGGAGGAGTTGGATGAATCTGGAGCACCTCCTTTAAAGAAGATTTGCACAGGGGAAAATGCTGTTCTGAGATAGCTTATTTATAATAATTTTGATAAAATGCACACGATACCTGTCCCTATTCAGATTAGATAGTCTTTCAGAGTTATTCTAGTGCTTTATTGACATGTAAACACAATTTGACACTTCAGCCAGTTACAAAAATAAATATTTACTTCTTTATTTTGGTTCAATTTAAAAGCTCTTTAAAGTCTTGCTGTACTCGGTGATTGCTGGAATTATTGAGGTGTTTTCCAAACTGTGGCAAGGCCCTGCTGTTTGATAGTTTGAATTGAGATGAATCTGCTGTAAATGTCTAGTTTTCTGGCAACTAACTTCTTCTGATTTACTCTGTATGTTGTGTAATTTTACTTTTGCATGGTACCTTATTCTATTGCTTTTATCTGTAGCTTTACATGGCCATTTGAATAAAAGATATCGATTGTGTAGCTTCATGCAGATAAATGGTTAGGTGTGCGATTTGGCTTTTTCATACAACACCCTTCCTCGAACAAATGTTCTCTTTGTTCATCTCATCCAATAATAAATGCTTTTTTGATATTTATAATATAAATTGTCGCTTTTTTTTATGACTGAAGAAAGTGCAAATAACAATAATTGCATATGACTTCTATTATTTCCATTTTAAGTCTGAGTCTTAAGTCTTGTAAGTGATGCATGCATGAATTCCCGTAATATCTTGCGGCAATCATTCTCCCTCATAATGAAGGAAGCCCCTTTGTGTAAGGAGATCCGTTTAATTTAGAGCCCAGACAATAGATAGGCTTATCTATTGATTCAAGAGGGAATTAATGGCAATTAAATTTCAAGAAATGCATTGCCAAAAAAAAAAAGAATGTTATTAAATTATGAAAATTAACGTAAAAAAACCCCGCAATCATCTACTTTTTTGTCATCAGCTGACCTAAAGTCCCTCACGAATATTCTAACTGGGCGTTGTTTATCGTGGAGGGCTTTTCTCTTCTTACGATTGAAAGGTCACATCAGCCAATGAGACCCCGTATCAGGCGGTTTCGACGAGGGCGCCTTATGGAAAAGGCCAATGAACGTCGAGAGGAGGCGGGGCGTAAACGCGACGCCGCTTGCTGCCGGGGAAACGAGGGTACTGACGGCGTACGGAATTGTGCCGGTGGACTAGAAACTCCCGCCATTTCGACAAGGAATTAACCTCTTGATTGATACAGGGTACTTTCCCATAACCATCACCACGCCGTTATATGTTGACAAGAGGATCCGGACATTTAACGAAAACCTTAAATAAAAGGAAAAACCGGCTTTAGTTTAAAAGATTTGTATTGGACATCCCGCCGCTGAACTGACGATTTCGCTGCTACCGCGAGTTTAGATTTTGCATCCTTTCATCTTCACCCAGAGGAGCTTAAAAGTTATCCAACTACACCTTTTTGGGGACACGTCCAGCTACCCTGTTCTACATCGTAGATATTGCGTAAGCCGAGGATGACACCGCTGCGAGAGGAGACGAGCAGGTTGCGATGAGGCGGCCGACGAGAAGAGCTCTGTTATTGTTTTGCAACAAGCTAGCCATCCAGCCGTCTTTGCTAGTGAGCTAGCTGCTGCACGCCGAGTGCCGGGCCTGCCGGCGGTAACGCGAGACCTGCTAACACTATTTCAGGACACTTGTCTAAATGCTATTGTGAATTACTTCAGTAGTTTTTTTTTTTTGACTACCGGATTTGATTTTTACGTTGGAAGCTGTGCCATTTTGTTAAATAGAAATGGCACCGCTTTTAGGCCGGAAGCCGTACCCACTAGTGAAGCCGCTATCCGAGGCACCAGGCCCGGGAGAGGAGGTCTACATCATCGAGCACACCAAGGAGGCCTTCAGGAACAAAGAGTATCCTTTTTGACGTGATGCTGATGCTCACTGTCCACAGTCGGTGTGGTGTAACATGTACAACAGGCTTTTGTCTATCAAACATCACCGCGTGTGTGTTCACACAGTCACTGTTAACATGGCTTTACTGACATTATTTAATGTTATTGAACATTTCGGCTCTTGCCCGCATGTAACTCAGTGAACACTCGATGACAACACTGCTAGCTAGCCGATGTTCCGCCTGCTAAGCGACTCATTAGTAACAAAGCGAGCAAGCTGTTTAATAGAGCTAGCGAATCATAAGATGTGTGTAACTTGGTACAATTTATTTGCTTAGCCGCATGTAGTCATGTGCTGAAAGCTGTCCTTTCACTTTCAGCTGTTGCGGCCTGGATGTCAGACACGGATGCTAACAGGACAGCTAACATTAGGTATCTCGTTATGCTACAATAGGCTGGAGACCTTAGACGGTAATGCTCTTTGAGTTGGTTAGCTTCAGCTACCGGCACATTTTTTTTTTGTTGGTTTTCTAGAGGACAACAGCTGACTAAGAACCGTGCACTTAACATAGACATCATTTGGGGGTTTAATATTTTGCGAATTGAAATATTTATCAACTTCATTGAAAGTGTCAGAAAACTAAGTAGAGTCTGTTATGACAGCGAAGTGTGAAACACGAAGCGCCAAACCTGCTGTCTTATTTGTTGTTTGGCATCTTACTGTGTGTCTATAAAAGTTATAATTATTTTTGAGTGACTTTAGCGATGTAGCTGCTTTCCACCTAAATGTCTAAATCCAACAGGTATTGTAAGGAAGTGTCTACCCAGCAACGACTTTGTATTTCCTCTGTCACTTCTGCTGAACGAATCAAAAATATAAATGCAGCATGAACTTTCACCTTTCCACATAATCACACTTATAGCAACGCTGATAATTTGTTTTGAAAAGTCCTTCACTATAGCCTACTGTGTGATTTCAAACCATCAATGGCAGCATATAACACATTTTCTCATCAGCCAGATACATACGTGTTAACTTTCCCCTGCGATCTTCTGATCACTTTAAAGGTTTCCCAGGAAGTCTTTACTTTTTTTTTTTTCTTGAAGTGTAACCAAAAAATCTAGTTTGTTGAAATGTGAAATATCTTTGTATGCTGGGTGCCCTAAGGACTCAGCCTCATTTGTCAATTACTGACATTTGTGAAACTAAATTTTCAAAAATGAACCATGCATGTCTTGCAGTTCATTAGAAAGCAAATTACTAAACAAGCAGATGTTTATATGTATCACTGTGACTGTGGTAATTTCCTTAACAAAATGTCTACAGAGAGTATGAGGCTCGCTTGCAAAGGTATGCTGAGCGCATCTGGACCTGTAAGAGCACTGGAAGCAACCAGCTCACCCACAACGAAGCATGGGAGGAGGAACAAGAAGTCACTGAGCTGTGAGTATTATATCCAAAGTCTATGTGTGCTGAAGAAGTTTCATCCAACTACTCAAATTATAGTAATTGCAGAATACAGTCCACGTCCTACAGTATACAGATTTTGGCTGCTGTATCAGTTCTGTGAAAAAAGACTAGAACAGATGTGTAAATTGTCATACATTGCAGTGTCTCCCACAGAATGACACTACCTGGGCAATGTGTGTATAAACATGTGTAATTCTCTAACCTGCTTAAGGTTTGTGTCGTAAACGACTTTAGCCTCATAAAGTAGCTTCATTTTTTTGTGTGCATTTCTGCTCTCTTTTTGAAAGTTATTTTTTGGGCCTTTGTCTTTATTAGACATTTGTTGGGCAGTTGAGAAGATATAGGACAATTTGGGAGGGGAGAGTGGGGTAAATATTCCTGGGTGGCCCGCCTGAGTATTGTCTATGTACCGAAAACGCTGCATTGCGTTCAGATGTCCAGTGAGGCTCTGGTTTTAGTTAATCTCTAATTACCACCTTTGGTTATATCGATGCCTTGGCCCAAGGATGCAGATTAGCCTCTCTAACAGAAGCTCTGTATAATGAGGAAAGAGCCACACTCTGCTGGTGAAGGTCACAAAGCTTTGCCTTGATTGGATAAATCTGGTGCTCCTCCTCTTTCTATTTAGAGGGTGTGTGATTGAGTCATCCTTGAGTCTGCAATTTCCTTATCCTCATCTACAAAATGGAAGGATATGCTCCAGAATCATTTTAGAGCCTTCCAGCTGTGCTCTTTAAGTCCACACATCACCACCTGGGGTTATGTTTACACTTCAGATATACCACTAGCAGGCGTAGTCTGAGTCTTACTATATGTTCAGCGCAGAGAGATGGCAGAGCAGTCCTCAGCTGCACAGAGTACAACTCGCAATGGACCATGGACTGTATTTAAGCGGTCTAATTTTATCTACCGTGAGATTGTACTCCCCCTGCTGGTCACTCTCATACATTTCTTCCCCGTTATGTAATGCTTTGAGTTCTACTGACACTTGAGTGTTTGGCTTCATACAGGCTTCAAGAGGAGTATCCCCAGTGGTTTGAGAAGCCGGTCCTGGAGATGGTCCACCACAACACAGTGTCTCTAGACAAACTGGTTGAAATGGCCTGGGTGGAAATCCTTACAAAGTATGCTGCGGATGAAGAATGTGACTTCCTGGTCAGTTGGACTCTGTACATTTCTAAAACAGTCTGTTGTCTTATGTTTTGAATGACTCCATTGTTTGCCACCAGAATATCATTATTTCTTATTATCATTACAGAAAGATAAAATTGGTTTGTATTTTAACAATAAATAAGTCATGCCAAAGTTATTGCTTTGTTAGACTATTAACCCAAGAAAATGCACATTTTCAAAAAAACTAGTAAAACAAAACTGAGTTCTTGATGTATTTACTCATGAGACTTTTTCACTTAAGGTGGGAAAGGACAAAAGCTTGCGAGTGAAGGTGGTGAAGATCCACCCCCTAGAAAACCCAGAGGGAGAGACGGGGGAGAAGAAGCTTGAAGGAGCCTGTGATTCTCCGTCCAGCGACAAGGAGAATGCAAGTCAGGAGAACCAAAGGAAGGAACCTCCCCCCCGAGAGGAGGAGAACAGAAGAGAGAGTCTCAGTGAGTCCACTGCACTAACCAAAAAAGGAATCACATAGAAAATCCAGCCAAATTGCTTTTGATTGACTATCAGTGTGCCTCTTTTTAACATCACATGGGATTCTTATTTTTCCTATCAGGTGACAGGGCAAGACGTTCACCTAGGAAACTTCCCACAGCCACGAAGGAAGAGAAGAAGAAATGGGTGATGCCCAAATTCCTTCCTCATAAATACGATGTGAAGCTCATTAATGAGGACAAGGTTTGTATATCTTTTGTTAATTTTGGTAGGCTAAGTGCCACACGTTTTCATTTTGAGTCAACCCTTTTTATTTTCAAAGAAGTGACTACTTTTCCAATCTGACTTCTGTAGGTGATCAGTGATGTCCCAGTGGACAGCCTGAACAGAACAGAGCGCCCTCCAACCAAGGAAATCATACGCTACTACATCAGACACTACGCGCTGAGGCTGGGCATGGGAGAGAGTGCTCCATGGGTGGTTGAAGATGAGCTGGTGAAAAAATTTAATCTTCCCAGCAAATTTAGTGACTTCCTTCTTGATCCACACAAGGTATACACTTGGTATTTTCTCTCACCGCACTTTGTGTGAAAATGTATCCTGTTCTTGGCTCACACTCTTTCGCTTGTCTAAAGTTTTTAGCAGAGAATCCCTCAGCAAAGCGTAAGAGCCTGACATCTCCAGAAGGTAAACCAAGTAAAAAGCCGAAGACCTCAGACACATCAGGAGAGGATACAGGAAACGAGAAGGGAGAGAAGAAAAGGAAAAAGAAGGATGCTTCAGGCATGCCACTCAGCCCAACCATTTGGGGCCACATGCAGGTTGGCTTGATTGAATGCACATCATCATGTCTTAGTTGAGATTGGTTGTTGTCCATAATCACACACTGATTCCTTACTCCCTCCTCACTACATAGGAGGTTATATTTAGTGGACTATATAGTGCACTCATTCGGCACAATTAAACATCATTTTAGACACTACTCGCTCGCCAACGGCCGACTTCATTGCTGTCGGGTAACTAAAACATGCAGCTTAACATCGGCTGTTACCGTCAATAATACCACAAATACCAGCATGAATTGCAGTAACTAATAGTAAAACTAAACAGTAAAAAAACAATGACTCAATATCAAATACAGAATCTTTAAATAAATAATGAAACATAGGGGCGCTGGTGGCGCAGTGGTTAGTGCGCGTGCCTCATGTATGGAGGCTATAGTCTTCCAGGCGGGCTGCCTGGGGTCGAATCCGGCCTGTGGCTCCTTTCCTGCATGTCTTTCCCCACTCTCTCCCTGATTTCCAACTCTATCCACTGTCCTATTACTCATTTATTTGTGCTTTCCAACTCTGGTCTTGTGTCTGTCATCATTATTAGGACAATCTGTTACATTTGAATTAAAACTGCTTCTAGATTCCCATTTAAAATGCCCCAATTTAGTCACTTTTTCTGTGGCTGAGTCCAATGGCAATTTCCGCCCATTAAAGTCTTTGAACTGCAATGCATGATGGTATATATTGCTTGGTTAGTGACTATCGGTTGTACACTACTTTTCACAATGTATTGTGGGATACATTGAGTGGACTCACATCAAAATGCTGTATTCACTATAAAGTGAGAACTGTGTGATTTCAGCCACAGCCTTTGTAGTCTTGGTATAAATATGGGGTGTTCCTTAAAATGTAAAACTTTGCTTAATGGGTCATGTTGTCTGTATTTCAGAAAATAAAGATGAATGGTTCCCCACTCAAGGTGAAAAGTCCAGGAACTCCCAAGAAAGGGGAAGGGAAAGGCTCTTCTCCCTCCACTCCAAAATCAGGCAAAAAGTCCGGGGAAAAGAAGGAAGGAAAGAAAACTGGGAAAAGTGGAGATAAGAAGCTCAACATTCTCAAGGCTTCCAAAAAAGATGGCAAAGCTGGTCCTAAGACACCAAAGATGAAGCAGATGACCCTGCTTCATCTGGCTAAGAGCACCCCTGCTGGGAGTCCTAAGAAGAGAGCCCGCAGTACTGGTCTGGGTACCCCTAAACTGGGGAAGCCATTGCCTCCTATGGCCCTGCACCTCCTCCGTTACTATAAGGAGAACAAGGGTAAAGAAGACAAGAAGACCTCACTTTCTTCCCTCATCTCCAAGGCTGCAAAGACCCTGTCCCCTGATGATCGGGGCCGGCTGCCAGAGGAGCTTCGGGAGCTGGTGCAGAAACGCTGGGAGCTACTCGAGGAGAAGAAGCGATGGGCGGCCTTGAGCGAAGAGGAAAGACAGGAAGAAATGAAGAAAAGACGCGAGGAACTCAAAGAGAAGCTGCGAGAAAAGGCCAAGGAGAGGCGCGAGAAGGAGATGCTGGTCCGTCGTGAACAATCCCGCAGATACGAGGACCAGGAGATTGAAGGTGGCAAGAACCTGCCAGCATTCAAACTAGTAGACATGCCAGAGGGGCTGCCCAATACCCTCTTTGGTGATGTAGCTATGGTGGTGGACTTTCTCCACTGCTATGCAGGGCTGCTAATGCCAGATGATCAATATCCCATCAATTCAGTGGCTCTGATGGAAGCACTGGCAGGGGAACGATCCGGCTTCCTCTATCTGAACCGTGTGCTGGTGGTGCTACTTCAGACGCTGCTGCAGGACGAGCTGGCAGAAGGCTACAGTGAGCTTGATATGCCCTTATCTGAGATCCCTCTCACCATGCACTCGGTGTCAGAGCTCGCACGGTTGTGCCTACGACCATGCGACGCCCACGGAGAGGAAAGCGGTCAAGGCTCGGAGGATTCTGGGCCACTGGGGGGCTTCGATGATGTTGTGACCAGCGAATTCTTGGAGAAACTTGAGACAATCGAGGTGTTTGAGCTGGGCCCAGAGGAGAAGGTCCACCTGCTGGTGGCTCTGTGTCACCGCATACTCATGACATACTCAGTTGAGGACCATGTTGATGCAAAGCAGCAGCGCTCGGCGGAGCTGTGGAGAGAGCGTCTTGCAATGATGAAAGAGGTTAATGACCGCAAGAGGGAAGAGAAGAAGAAGCGGAAAGAGATGGAGGGCAAAGGTAAGCAGGGATCGATACCACAAGAGCTTGATGTAGTCATTGAAGTCAAATAAATAAGACGTTAATGCTGTGATTTGAACATTTTTCTTCACTGAGTTTATCACAAAAAATATTGTGATGTATAATCCTCAGAAAAACAAATAATCCTTTTAATGTCTTAATATTTACTTTTCATTTTGTAGTATCAAATATCAAACATCCTCCTAGTGGTTTTATTATATCCCTATACTACATCACAAACTAATAAACAGTTTATTTTCTTTTTTCATCTGGGTTCACAGGAGAGAAAAAGAAAGAGGGAGCTTCTAAGAAGGAGAGCAAAAAAGAAGTAAAGTTGGAGCCAAAGGTGGAGCCAGAGCCGGAGGACATGATCAGTTCAGTGAAGAGCCGGCGGCTGATGTCCATGCAAGTGAAGAAGGAGAAGGAGGAGATGGACAGACTAAACAAAGGTAAATAGGGAGAGAATGATCATAACTTCACAACTTTGAAGTCAGTGTGTATCACTCTGATTATTTTATGCTTTTATTGATCCTCAGAGCGTATGGAGAAAGAGGCAGAAGAGGAGCGAATGCGTAAACAGAGAGCTGCTACAGAAAAGGCCTTCCAGGATGGTATCGCCAAAGCCAGACTCGTCATGCGCAGGTCTCCACTGGGTACCGACAGGAATCATAACCGGTTAGTATTGCGCCCAAATATTGAAAGATATGATAGTCATACATTTTTAAAATATGATTAAATTATAACCATTATAACATCGGCTTTAATGTCTTTTTTTCAGATACTGGGTTTTCTCAGATGTGGTTCCTGGTCTGTACATTGAGAAAGGCTGGGTGCATGAAGGCATCGATTACAGCTTCACTCCTCCACCTGAGGAAAAACCAGCCGAGCCTGAGGTGGACGAGGAAGAGGATGGCGGCTCTACTGCTACTCAGGATTCACAAGGTACATTTACAAAAGTATCAATGTCTCAATATTGTACGTTTAAATAAAAACAATATAAGCTAATTTATCAATAAATTATTCAAAGTACAAAAATATAGATAGTGTGTAAGACCTTATTCTGTTTTGCCATGTGTTCAAGTCTGGGTGTGATTGATCAGTATTCTGTTTAGCTGTGTCTTTGTGTTTGAGTAATTATCAGTCTATCTGTAAATGATCCATTTCTGTTCATATTGTAGAGGCTGAAAAAGATGATGGCAGCATAGATGGTGCTGTGAGTGAGGGAACCCAGCAGGGGGCAGCAGCTGACATCTGTATAGAAACTACTGTTCCCAAACAGGGACAGAACCTCTGGTGAGAGTTTTGCTTCTGTCTTTTTTTTCCCTTCCTATCTGCAGCCTAATCTTATCAATTTCTTGCATCTTTATTCTTCACCCAATCTGACAGTCTTATTTGCTTTTACTCTGAATACAGGTTCATTTGTGATAACCTAGCTGAGCTTGAGGAGCTGGTGGAAAGTCTTCATTCTCATGGCGTTCGAGAAAGTGAACTGAAGGCAAAGATACAAAGCAGGTGTGTGCAGCAACATAAGACATAATGACTTGAGTAGAAGTCATACTGGCATGTAAGCAGCAGTTTGTTTTTGGGGAGTTGCCAAAAGAGAAACAAATTTCAAACTGTCTACCTGCGTGACGATTTCTATTGTGTTCAGCGACGACCACAACATGCAATTTCTGTACAGCTTTTACCATCCGTTTTCGCTTCTTGGAGTTTGCACTTTCAAAAAGCTTTTATTTCTAATCAGTTTTTTTTACATAGTGAAAGAGCTAAAATGTGTGCTGGTGTATATCAATTGTTTTCACTCTAAGCTTTGTTGTTGCACAAGGATGAAGTAAATATGAAACACAGAGCAAACCTGTCCGTTCTCTTCCTCAGATACCAGGACATCCTGCACTCAGTCCATCTGACTCGAAAGGGTAAAATGGGCCTCAGGACCTGCGACGGCTATGCAGAGCTACTCAAGTATCTGCGCAGCGACATCCAGGAAGTAGCTTCACGACTCCAGAAAGGTGGCCTGGGATATCTGGATGACAACGAAGACATTGAAGAACAGGTGATTAGTTTGTCTGACTTTCAACACTGAACACTGAAATGAATCACATATATTCTTGGAGGTTGGGTATTCAGTTTCCTGTCAACATCTTTTTTGATACATAGTGAAATGTTACTGACTTTATCATGTGGTATGTTTGTTTTGTGCACAAAAAACGTGATAGTAATTTGAAGTTATCTTTTCCCTTCACAGCTGAAAGAAATGGAGAGCTTGAAAGAGTTTGGAGAGTGCATCATTACTATTCAGGCCTGCGTGATCAAAAAGTTCCTTCAGGGATTCATGGCCCCAAAGCAGAAAAAGAAGAGAAAGCAAGGAGGGGAAGAAAGCAGCAAGGCCGAGGAGGTCGACGAGGAGAAGAGACTTGCAGAGGAGGCCAGAGTAAGAGTCAATGTGTTTGTTTTATCTCTAAGGTCAAAACTGAACCGATTACAATGTCACTCTGTTCTGTACTGTAACATTTTACTTACAAAACATGAGCTATGTTGAAAAAATACAATTTAGTGTTGTTTAGTCTTAAACAAATCTGACTGTTCCTCTCTAGGTAGCGACAGCAGTGGAGAAGTGGAAGACAGCTATCCGCGAGGCCCAGACCTTTTCCCGCATGCACGTGCTGCTGGGAATGCTGGACGCTTGCATAAAGTGGGACATGTCTGCCGAGAACGCTCGCTGCAAAGTCTGCCGCAGGAAAGGTAAGCACTGCTTGCACTACTGCCATTATGTTTCAAAGAAATAAGTTGGCTGTGAATTTGTGCATCAATTGACGCTTTTATGAGCATTACACTTACAATTATAAATCTATAACAGGACAATTTACCTTAGCCCCAATCATTTAGAAAACAGTCAGTTCAACATTCAGCCCTGAATAAAAGGTGTGCTAGATTGCTCAAACAGTGATGTATCAGTTTGAGTGCAGCAGTGCTGTAATTCTTATAAACAGTGTTTGCTCCCTGTCCAGTGCTCAGACAGAGCCCATGTGTGTTGAAGCTGATGGAGTCTAGGACCAGACCCACACAGGGCAGCAGGGCCAGGCTCAGGGCAGAACAGACTAGTAGTGTCAGGCAGGTCTACATACAGAGATCGCAGACCTGCAGGCCAACAGGTGAACCTGTAGTTATAAGCTGACTGTGTAAGATACAGTAAAAGATAAGGAAAATGTGCACAAAGTTTGTTGGTTTTTATAGAGTGAAGCACAGAAAATGTAAGACTGGAAGAAAAACAGAATAGAGTTTGAGTTTATTTTTGCTTTTAAAGAAACTCAGTTTTATATATGTTAATCTTTCTTAGGTGATGATGAGAAACTTATCCTCTGTGATGAGTGCAACAAGGCCTTCCACTTGTTCTGTCTGCGACCGGCTCTGTACCGCATCCCTGCAGGGGAGTGGCTGTGCCCGGCCTGCCAACCCACTGTGGCCAGACGAGGATCCCGCTCAAGGTAACAGTCTGCCTCATGCTGTTTAGTGAACCACTGTTTCAACTGGCTTACTTTTAATGATACTTCTAAATATCTGAGAAAGCTCACACTAACTTTTTTATAAAGTTTAGTTATAAACTAACTTCACCTTCCTCCTTCACTGACTCGTTATTCCAAAGAGTGTGTGATGTGAAATTATTTTCCCTAACTAAACCAAACCTACAGTAAATCCTGCCTGTGTTAACAAAGACTGTGTTCTGTTTTTATCATCAACCTTTCTATTGTAGAAACTACAACCAAGACACTGATGAAGAAGAGGATGAGGAGGACTCTGAAGAGGAGGACTCAGAGGAAGAGGAAGAGGATGAAGAAGAGAATGACTACAAAGCCATGGGCCACAGTTGTAAGTGCCAGAAAGAGAACTTTAACTCCCCTTAAGGACAGTCACCACGGTTGCTTTAGCACATCAACCGATGGTGATAACAATGAGCATATCCAGGTTATTAAGCTTTTGTGTGTTACAACTCAAAGTTGGAGACTTTTTGTTGTCAGTAGCTTCCCCACATTTTGCCTAAAAATGGGAATGAGAGGAATGCTTACGGGTACTGTTGTCTCCTTTGTCTGAGTGTTGTCATGTTGTGAGTATAGTGAGCTCAGGACTGGACCTTAAGCTTTGAAGCCAGGTCTCACTCTGGTTTCACTCGGAGTATGTGGCAGGATGATCCCCCTCTGTCAGTTCAAGCTGCATGCCAAGGATAACAATCTAACAAGTTTTCTGCATCAACACTGCACAGCTCCAGAGGAGAACACGGTTCACAAAGTCAACTTCCCTCAGGGGACACATAGTGCAGTTTTTCAATCAGTGCACTTCTTTTCACAGTGCAATCATCACAACAGGTTCAAGCAATAACTTCAATACGATGATTTTCTAACCGCAGGTTTTGTGACATGAAAAATGATAAGATATTTTTATGTGCCTTTTTAGTGCTGGCACTGCTTTTTACCGGGGTTACCTTTTAGACTTGCCTTCTTTGACATCTTGTATTCCTTATCACCTCTCATTATTTCTTTACAGTGAGACCAAGGAAGAAAAACAAGCAGTCTTCATCCCGACAGAAAAGTTCAAAAAGCAAATCCAAGAAGCGCTCATCCTCGAGTAGTCAGAGCAGCAAACTGAGGAGCGGCCCCAACAGCCCTGCAGACATCGATGAACTGGTAGGAAATCACTGTAACACTCAGGGCCTCTCGTTTCTCAGAAGAGTCAATCTCAAAAAGTAACAGTTTAGAAAAGTTCAGACTTTCTCTGCAGCAAAAACGACATCATCTCTGACTTTGTGTTTGTTGTTGTTATCCTGCTTGTGTGCGGGATTTCTGCAGGTCCGACAGAGTTCACAAACAGGAGTGCGCAGGCAAGTGCTGGAGCTGGAAAGGTGTGAGGAAATCCTCAAGAAACTGATGAAATTCCGCTTCAGCTGGCCTTTCAGGTAAGAATGGACATGGACATGCACTTTTTATTGGATTTAAAAGAGGGAATTACAAAGTCTTAACATGTATATCGTTTTAAGTATGGATACAAGGTAAGAGAAATGGGAATCAACAAACTAAAGTTAAACTATGATAATGATAATGCACACACTGTTTGTTCCCAGGTGAAAGAGTGTCCAATATTAAAATAAATCAAATTACTAAATGATCCTCTTAAGTTACAGACACTGATAGTTTAGCACTAAAAGGGCTCCGTGTAAGCATGTATTGATCTAGCTCGTCCAATATATATAGAATATATTGCTCTCTCATTAGCAGCTACCTAACGCTGGTTTAGCCCCAGTTTTGGCCCATTCTTCTTGAACTATTCATGAAAGTGTTTCCTTGAACAAACACCATGTTTGCATTTTTCTGTTTTTATCTGTACATGATTACCATCTAAACTTGATAAACAAGTGGATGATCTGCATCACTCTCTACCATTCCAGTTTAGTGGCTTCTGACACATGCTCTGTCCTGTTTTTTTTTTTTTTTTTGCTGATACATCCCTGTTTAATGCATGTGGGTCTCCTCTGCTCTGCTCCCTCTACAGGGAGCCTGTGTCCGTGGACGAGGCCGAGGACTACCTGGACATCATTTCCCAGCCTATGGATTTCCAGACAATGCTGGGAAAGTTCAGTCAGAGCTCGTATCGTAATGCTCAGGATTTTCTGGAAGACATAAAACTTGTTTTCGCCAACGCAGAGGAGTACAACCAGCAGGGCAGCTCAGTGCTCTCCTGCATGGTCAAGACGGAGCAGACGTTCACCGAGCTGCTCCAGAAGCTGCTGCCCAGCCTCAGCTACCTCCGCCGGCGTTCACGCAAACGCATCAGCCAGCAACCTGTAACATCTGAGGAGGAGGAGGATGACGACGAAGAAGCAGAGGAAGAGGAGGAGGAGGAGGAGGAGGAAGAAGAGGAACCGAAGAAGAAAATGCAGAATGGGAAATCAAACAGGAAATCCAGAAACAGTCGGGGGCGGAGGGAAGAGGAAAGCGAGAGTGAGGAGGCGGAAGAGGATGACGAGGAGGATGATGGCAGGAGGAGAAGTAAGCGCGCCACCGCCACCTCAGGAAAAAAGGATTACAGGGAGCAGAATAGCGATGGCGAGCGGGACACACGCAGAACTCGTCAACGGGGGGGCAGGGGCGAAGCCGGAGGGACGAGCAGCGACGAGGAGCGGTCCAACCAGCAGCGACATTCCAAGAGACAGAAACGCTCATAAAGTCCAGGATGCTTTTTTTGTTTTGTTTTGTCGTTTCTCTTGCTTTAAAACTTCTGTCCTGCTCTTCAAAATGATCAAGGGGCCTCCTCCTCCTCCTCCTTCAGCCAGCAGGAATGAATCCTTAGAAGGACTCTTTTGTGTTATTGAACTTTTCTGTTCATATTTTGAAAAATGACAAAAGAAAACTGATTTATATTTGTAACATGTTTAATATTGATGGGGTTTTTTTTTCAACCACAAAAAAATAGAGAATGGAGAGGTCCTCGTAGCTCTTAAGACTCTTCAATTTGAATTTAATTTCCAAGTTGACAACCGCACATTCTTACACACACACACACACACACCTACACACACAACTGTAATTTGACTTAAAATGTCCTGTGACCTGCTTTGTACTCTTAAAACACCAGTGCTGTGTAGTCAGAGGCATGTCCTCGCCCTTGAAACACAGCCGTGTGTGTCAGGATCAGGAAGTCTAAAGAGGTTTTCAAAATGTAAAGGTTCCAAACCTCTGTTTCTTGTCATGGTGTTTTAACACACTTGAAGTACTTCTGGTGTCCATATAGCCAATCCCCCTTGGAAGTCTGTCTTGGCATAAAAACAGCACTGTTAGCTGAACGTTTCTGTCTTACTTCTACATATCTTGACACCAAAATGATCTCAAATGCAAGTTTATAGATAAATATGATAGGATTTGACTAGTCTTAGTTGTTTTTTTCTGTGTCATTTTTACAGTGCAGGATCAGATTTACTGTGAAAATCTGTGTGTGACTAAAGGATCACAAGTGTAGTCTTCTGACTTTAGTCCTGAAACACAAGTTTCATCTCAGCTCTTAGTGCCAAGATGTTTTTAAAAACTGGGACCCTGACATTGGAGTCTGCTTCTTGGCATGAGGAGCTGACCAGCCTTTCCTCCTCTGTAGTGCCCAGCCACTCAAAAGAACCGGTACCTCAATGCTCCGTCAGTTTGCACTCCTCCAGTGTAAGGTGCACCTATTATGCCAGCAGCTACAGGACCATACTTTATAAAAAAAAAAAAATTATGTGCATTTGTAAACAGTGTTTAAAACAACAGATGTGACGTTTGTTAACAAAATGGGCATTTTTGAATATTTGATATTTTTTGCACATTTTATTTGGTTATTGTAAATGACAACTTGTTAGTCGCATCCAATAAATTGATAAGGTTCAACCAGGGCTCTCTCTTCTAATCACTGCAGAAAAAAAAGTTTAAAATTTTGTCACAGTTGAAATAATTGAAGTAGCCACCTGTACATTTTATAACAAACACCAAAAAGCCTCTGTCATTCATCAAATCATTTGAAGGTCGGCCCTGCATTTCCTGGTTCAGACACCAGGTGGTGCTGTCCTCCTGCACTTCTTTCCTGTCAGCAGTTGCCAAGTAATTCATTCACAGCGCTGTTAGCGGGACCGATCTGCATCAAGAAGAACAGGGGAGCTTAATAGAGGAGCTTTTTGGGGTCTTTTGTAAGAAGGTTGTGTTAGAAAACTTCTGCAAGAAATTGACATTTTTGGATTCAGGGGCTTTCCACATTCAACCAAAAGTTTTTGTACGAGCAGAGAAATGTCTTGTAGTGTGTGGCAGGTTGCTATCAGTGTATATCTGTCTTTATATTCTAAAGATGCAGTGGTTGTTCCCCCCTGTTGTCTGTACTGTCCTTGTCTGCTTCTCCAGTGCTTTTGTCATCAAACCTTTAACTGACTTGATTTTTCCGCTGATTAATTTCATCCCTTTTCTTCTTTCTGTTTGAATTCGGCTTCGTTCCTGACATGATTACCAATTGATTAAAAAAACATTTGAATAATTGTTTGACATTTCGACGAACAAACAAAAAGTGACTGCCCTAATTCTCGAGTTGAGATCTGACTGTAAATGCTTTCTTTGTTCATGAAGGAACTGCAAAAGTCTTTTACACTTCCTTTTTTTTATATATATATACATATATATTTATAGTCTAAAAATGGGTTTGGGCAGGTTCAGAGGATTCCCATGTAAAGAATTTCAAATAAAGGTTATGGACAAAGACTGTAGTTGTCCATATTCTGTTGTTGAGATGATGAGTGTCCCCAGGTCGGACAGACAGACATCACTGCCATCTGTAAAACTTTGTGACAAGACAATGAACGAGGAGGAAAACGGGTCAGCCGTGACCACCAGCTGATGTCCTATTCTGCTTTTTTTAATAAAATATCAAACAGTTTTCTTACTCTCTTGTGTTACTTTTTCCCCCCTGAAAAACCTGCATCTCCAAATGGAGGCCAAGTAAACATCAAATGTGTTTATTTTGAAGACAAAGATGACATTGCAGAGGTTTAATAGATTCATAAATATCTAAGAAGGATAAGCATAGTGGACATCTATTCCATTCAAAAAAAAATTAGAGCTGATTGGGTTGATGTTGAAGTTAGTTACACAGCTTTGACATGTGAGGTTAAGTATTTCTTTTAATGGCTGACAAAATCTATAAAACCAAAGAACTATTCCTTTTCAGTCAGAAGAAAGCGACAGACAAGAAACATTAAGTGTGAACTCGTCAGTTTATGTGTCTAGACTTCCACTTCATTTGACGTCTCAGGTTATAAAAGAAAAATCCTTCAGTCAGCACAGACCCAGGCAGCTCTCCACAACAATCTGTCCATTCAAGAACCAGCGGAGGAGTCTCACAGTCCGATATATCCAAACTGAGGAGTTTATCCGAGAGAGGACAGCAGGCTCTAATGAAATATCTGGTGTGGCGCTGACAGCCTCTGAGCCATCTGTAAGTTGGCGACAGGTGTAAGGGTTAGACGGATCAGAGGAAAGGTCAGAGATGTGAAAAGTCAGTGGAAACGTAGCACTTGATTAGAGGCTGTTTGGAGCTCGGTGACAGCTGCACCAAGCTCTAGTCAACCAAAGTTATGTTTCACTTTGGTACGTTTTATTGACATTTACTAAATTTAAGGTTTCCCCTTTGACAAAAAGATCCAGGTCCATGATCTGTACCAGATGAAAAGAAGTCAATGGCAGATTGAGGACATTATGAGCTACAAGCCCCGAGGCGTTGGAGGGAAATTGCAGCTTTTTGTCTGTTTTTATTTTTTCTTCTTGGGACTTGATGCTGACTGAATCTTTGTGACAGCCAGATTTGGTGACTGACTGTTTTGGGAAATGGAGCCAAAAGCAACTGAACCTTGCTTTACCTACCAATATGATCTGTGCATGATTTGAGTGAACTTCTTATGAACCTGTTCCTGGGAGGATTAGCCTCTTCAGCATTCAAGAATTTGTTTTTAACCCAAAATAAAACACAATACAGTCATGATGTATTACTTTTCCAGACTCATGACATGTGAAGTATTGTTCATTCCTCGAACGGTGCATCCTACGCAGGGAAACACAGCAGAGACATACATTCATCAAGCAGCTTTTACTCCCCGTTCAGGTAAAGGAACTCGTTGGCTGTTCATGCTGCTCACGGGAGCTCCTGAGTTTTTGCAGGTAGCCAGACAAAGAGGTTCATAAAAACACAAGGTTAGAATCCAGACTGTGAAGAATCCTGTATGATGATTATTATGCTATATATTATTTATTTCCTTGGCTCCTTATACATTTCTAGATGTGCAGCGCTGTGATTTTAGGGTATAATGTTTGTTTGATCTGTTGAATTGTCTGTTTCAGAAAACAAAAACTAGCTTAGGCTATCGGTGCTTTTTTTTTGGCATTAGTTCACTTGTGTCAATTCAATTCAATTCAATTCAATTCAATTTATTTGTATAGCGTCAACTCATAACAAGTGTTATCTCAAGACACTTTACAAAAAGCAAGTAAAATACCTTACTCTTTGTCTGTTAACATTACAAAAGAGCAGGTAAAAAGACCTTACTCATTGTTATGTTACAAAAAGCAGGTAAAAGACCTTACTTATTGCTATGTTACAAAGACCCGGCCTATCCATCATGAGCACTTAAGCAAAGCAGCAAAAGTTACAGTGGTAAGAAAAAAACTGCCTTATTAAAAGGCAGAAATCTTCGGCCGGATCCCCGGCTCATGACGAACAGCCTTAACAGGCCTAGACTGCGCCGGGCTTGGAAAGGGATAGGGGGAGAGATGGGATAAGATGCAGGAAGAGGGATATGGAGCAAGGGGGTGGGGGGAGGCAGACTGTCCATCAACAATCCGGTGGGGAGGGGGGGGGGTTGTTCTGGCAGGCCGTCATAGGGTCCGTCATACATACATTTTATACAACATGTATACTGAACAGATGATGAGTCTTCTGACTACTCAAAGCATTTTTACACTGCACATCCACACCTAGCCATTCACAAACTGATGACAGAAACTGCTATGTAAAGTCACCATCAGAAAAAAAACAAATCCCATTCATACGCTGCCGACGAAGCAGCAGGAGCAATTCAGGGTTAAGTGTCTTGCCCAAGGACACATCGGACATGTGGCTGCAGGAGCCGGGAATCGAACCCTCGACTTTCAGGTGAGAGACGATGCCGACTCTACCAACTGAGCCACAGTATGTATCTGTCTGACTCTGGTTAACACTTGACTTTTAGTGGAACAGTATCAGGAGTAAATGTCCTAACAATCACTGGCAATGTTGTCATAAAATGTGGTATGAACATTCATGTGCCTGTTAACTTTCCTCTAACTCCATCATCAGGGAAAAACATGTCCATGCAGGACAAAGTTATCTATCAGCCCCATCTGTAAATTGCAGATGGAAAAAAGCACACTGTAAATAAAAGGACTTTATTGGGGGGCTGACTCCATAAAAAGCTTTAGCTTTTTGATTTCTAAATGTGTTGCTATTGAAGTGTATGAATCAGCTCAAATGATAGCTGAGCTCAAAAGGAAAGCAGATACCATAGTTGTACACTCTTTGTTGAATTATGTCATTTGGGTCGTCCTTGTTTGTGGTGTTTTATTTTTCCATTTAGGTTGCTGTGCTCAAGGATGAGAATGATTTCACATGATCTACAAATAAATGTGAGAAGAGCACTATTAACATATCACACACAAGTTATGTTTGTACATTTTGTATTCTATAAAAAAAACATGTATTGTGTAATGTGAAATAAGTATTTAGTTTGGGCTGATGTGGATGGATGGTCTTGACCTGAAGTTCCCCTTGACTTTCAGAAAGTTTTTAGTGATTTTTAACTCATTGTTTAGCTGTCAAAGTCTGTAATTTATTGTTTTGGTTCCCTGTAATCTTTCTCATGACTTCATTTCAGCTACAGCAGGCAGATTTTTTTTCACAGATAAAGCTCTCAAAACCGACCTACATTTAGTGTGTGAATAGGTGCTGAGGAGTCAGATATTTCCTGCAGATGTAGGTGTAGACCAAACACAGAGCTAAAAGGGAGTGAGGAGATTCAGCTGCTGAACACAAATAAACGATAAGTTTTCACTGTAACTGCTGGATGTGTAAATAAGCAAGTGTTTTCTCACACATTCACATAAAAGGTGATAATATGCTAATGTTGTCTTCATAACGTGTCTCAGCTGATCATTAGGGTTTGACACAAAATTCAGCTCATGTCATTTCATGTGTCACCATACAGTAACCTGAAGCGAATTATGGAGAAATATGACACAGTTATTACAGGTCTCAAGCTGCATCCACAAATCTGACCTGACAGGCTAAAACAACAGCAGGTGCTCTCTCTCTAACAAGCAAACAGCAAACACTGTCCATGCGCACACTAATCTTTGAACCCAGGACAAACTGACAGCAGCAGAGGATGACCAGGCCATCTCCTCAGTGCGTGCATGTGTATAAGCAGAGCAGAGAAACCCATCCAGCAAATATTGACCTCAGGTCCAAGGCTGTGCACAGAGCTAGTGCAAAAAAAAGTGAGTTTGAACTCTCATTCCAGCAGACGTGATGTACTACATGTGAGGGGAATCTGTCAGTACTGTGACACAATAAAGGATTTTAAAGCGGTGTAATCATAGAAGCTTTGATTTGAAACATCTGAAAAATGTGCACTTAGAAAAACTACGTTTTTCTCGCATCCTTATTGTGGAGTGCTTATGTGCTTTACACCTACGGACCTGTGATCAACGTGCTGATCCCATGTTTCTTTCCTTCCCGTAAGAAGAATGCAAAAAGAGGAGGTGTTCTTGGAAATACACAGTGCCAGTTGCTTTGTGCAACTCAGGTTGAAATGCTTCATGGCTGATTTTGTCATGTTTCCTGCATTTGTTTACAACTTATCGATATTGAAATTAAATTTCGGGACGTGAGTGAGGGGGGGGGGGGGGCACATGTCGGGCTGCCAGTTGCTCACCTCTGCCCTAGGGTATTACTGTAAGAAAGTATGACTACTTCTACCTCCAGTGACTGTTTAGGACTAAGTTAATTGGTATTAAATGAACATCACAATATAAATGGTGCCAGTATGGTAAATGTATGGGTAGATGTATACTGCTTACCTTTGTCTTTATAAAGTTGCTTTAATAGTTGTTGTTGCAGCTGAATATCCATTTTGCTGATCTCCATTGGTTTTACTTCTTATCTTGATACAGTGATGTAGAGGTGCACAGAATGGGTTCCCAAGCTTTGCCACGCCAAGGACCCCCATAGCGTTAGCCATCTTAATATATGTCCTTATTTCATTTTATGAACTCTGGATAATCTTACTTATCCATTTCAATGAATGTCCTCTTTTGCAAACAGTCATTTATCATTTCTGTCTTAACAATAAACATTAAATATTCTGTAGAAAATTTGACATATGAAGAGGAGGCAGGGAGCTAGTTTTTAGTGGTAAAGCAACTTTCTTATAAATCAGTGTCACTCATAACCAGTGCTCAATTCTGATTGGCTAGAGTGGTGCAATATTTTTTATAAATTGAAAGATTTGCGTGGAAAAATAACTTATAGATTTTGATGTGTAGTCATTAATAACATCTATAAAAAGACATACAGTCTATTCAAATGTCACTGAGATAAGGTAAACCAAAAAAACCTCAAAGGATAGATTGGAGAGGTGGGAAAAAGACAAATAAATTGTATAGAGACAAAACAACCTTCTAAACCAGTGATACTCAACCCGAGGCTCTCGAACCACATGTTGCTCTTTGGGACTAGTTGTGGCTCTTTTAGGTCCTACTTGAAAAAAGAAAATCCAAAATAATTCTTTAAAAAAGGGAAACATTATCAGCAGAAGTTATTCTTTGCAAGTCATGTGACTGTGTTTCCCA